TAACATCATCAAAAGTACCTATTAAATTAATATACCTAGTTCTATCAGAATAATATATGTATTTAGAAGAAGATATATCGAAGTATTTAAGAAATATAACATTTATTACTGAAATAAGAATAGCATTCTATTTTAAATATCATTTAGCTAATAAAATCAATTCAATCTATTTAATTAGTGTAAAGATATATATACGTAAAAGGAAAATTATAATAAAATATAAATTAAATTCAAGATTATACTTTTTATATATTGAAATTATCAAAAAAATATATACAAGAAAACAAAATAATACAAAATATAAAATTGAAATTAATCTAATTTTATCTTAAATAGAGTACAAACAATTAAAAAAAAAAGTAAAATTCAAGGTTAATAGAATTCTAAATAAAGTAATAGATTTAGTTCTAATTGAAATAATGAATTATTAATTATTTATATTATTATTTGCTGATATATATTTTTCAATGTGCTTATTAAAATACTTCTGTTGCATTTTAATATTTTGATACAAATCTATCATTTTCAACATCGTATGTTGGTAATACTAAAATTCTATTCTTATGCAATTCCTATTGAATTTTATAATTAAGAGCATACTTGAAATATTATGTAATTATACCTATTTCCTACGATTTACACACTCTAAAAAATCTAATCCTTCAATAGCACATAGCTTGTTTGGTAGATTCTCTCGATTGATACAACTTTACATTCTCTCATAAAATGTGATGCAAGGATTTATTCCTCCAGATGTATTTATACCAATATATGACATTAATATTAATATATATATATACTATTTTAATCATAATTTTTGAGTCTTTTATTTCTAATTAATAGTGTTATAAAGCAGAAATTATATTTCAATACTAAATATGTGTTTACAATAAGAATAATCCATTAATTTTACACGCTTAATAATAAATGGTGGTAAATATATATTTGTTATTTATTTAATTATATAGGATTAGTATAATTTAATATAATTTTTAGTATAATTTTCAAATAATACAATATGAACACATACAGCTCTGTTAAGTATGACCGTTTAATATATTTAGATCCTTCGACTCTTAAATTCAGGGAAGAAGAATGCAAGAGCCGAATATTGCAGTAATGCATCAAAGACATTAGCAAACTCCAAAATATCACTCTCCTGAATCACATTTGGATAATTTTGTCAATTTGAAAACAGGAGAGCCATCTAAGACATAAAAAAAGAAAAAGTTAACATAAGGATAGTAAGGCAAACCAAAACCATAGACTCAATAGATTAAGAAACCTGCATAATAATCAATGTCTGTCAAAAAATAAACTAAGCGAACTGTTTCTCCAAAAAAAAAGAAAGCTCAAACAGTTGATGCAAAAAAGCAACCAAAAATGATTAAACCATCATAAAAATAAAGAAGAGAAGAATTAGGCTTGGGTTAACTTAATGAAAAATAAATCAAACAACGAATAAGTATTATTCAAATTTAATTAGAAAAAATCAAATCAAAGACAAAAACAGTGGAACCATTATTGAAGAAGAAAAACTACCAACCAAATCATGAGATTTAACATTATATGACACAAAAGAAAGCTATTGACAATACTACTAGCATGCAATAATAATTGTTATCTCTATTGGAAAAATAAAGAAAGTAAGGCAATCCAATTAACAAGATTGGAGAATCTGGCCAAGTTGAATGAGTCTGTTAAAGAGATTTTCAAAAAGTGTAAAACCTTGGAGAACTCACAACCACAAACTCCAAAAGTGACAATGAAGAAAAAGAAATAAGAGATACCAATAGATACTGAATAAAGAAAATAGTAGCCAAAATTTAAAGAAAATAGAGCTAAGTAAGAATCCAAAAACAACCATAATAAAGACTAATTAAAAAAATAATATGAAAATCTTAATTATAGATATCAATAGCTTAAAAACCCTGAACAAAATTAAGATGGAAATGATTAATATATTGAAGAAATAGAGGATGAAGAATAGGAAGATTAATATTCTTAGATTAGTGAAAATTAATTCACTTAGATGATAGTTGATACTTTATCTAAAATACCCCCAACTTAATTCTTGTTAGATAAAATACAAGAAATACTCAAATCATAAAATGATTTGGATCCAAATGAACTTACTAACCAAGATTATATTGTGTTGTAGTATCATTTTATGAATGAGGCTGCAACTAAGTTATAAAGTGTTTGGAGAGGTTACTCTATCAGGATGTAATTACTTCATGAATTGCAAGAAATGTTAGAATAATAAAATGAGAATGATGCTTCAGATCAAGATTAAGATTCTGATGAAGATTAACAGTTAAGATATGAATCACCTTAATTAAAGCAAGATTAAATTATTAGTTAATAGCAGTATTAAGTAAAAGAATAATAATAACAATTGAAAAAATTCTAAGCACAAAATTTCATAAATCAAGAAGAAATTGCTTAATAATAAAACAAAATAAAATCTTAATAATAATAATAATAATAATAGTAATAATTATAATAGTAATAATAGTAATTATAGAAAATTTAATAGTAACAATAATAATAATAAAAATTATAATAATAATAATAACAATAGAAATTTTAATAGTAATAGTAATAATAATAATAAGAGCAATAATAATAATAATAGTAATAATAATAATAATATTAATAATAATAATAGTAATAATAGTAATAATAGTAATAATAATAATAATAATAATAGTAATAATAATAATAATAATAATAATAATAATAATAATAATAATAATAATAATAATAATAATAATAATAATAATAATAATAATAATAATAATAATTAAAAGATTTACCAGTTTAAATCAAAAATAAATTTGAAAAAAACTTATCTGATTAAACAGATGATTTAGTAATTATTTAGCAACCAAATAGTCCTGCTAATTAGGAAATGTATTTCTATAATCCTTTTGGATAAAATGTTCAATAATCATTAGAAAAATAAATTCATTACTCAAATATCAAAAGTTCTGTTGTAAGTGAGGAAGATCAAAAAAGTGCATTATCTCATTCTGTAATTTAGTAAATTTAATAAGAATTAGAATTATGGAATAGTTAGATTGAAAATATTATTAAATAAGGCCCAGAAAAGTAAGCATTTGCTAATGTAAAATAATAAATGTCATAAACAATATTAAATATTGTATCATAACATATGAAAAAATAAAAAGAAGCAAAGACACATGAAAGAAGGGATTCTGAATAATCAGTGGATATGAGAATTAGAAGTTAATTGGAAGCTAATAATGAAAAAACATTTAATGATGCTCGCAAAAGATTATAAAAAACTCAAGAATATAGTGATGAAAGATTATAGTTATCTTCAAAGGATAATGATATCAATCGATCTTCATTAATGTCACTATAATCATAATTAATGAAGAAGGAAACTGAGTTATTAAATATGAGAGATGAAGCTATTAACTTGAGGTATAAGGCAGAAAAGAAAAAAATATAAGATGATCCAATAAAGTAATAAGAATTAGAGAATTGGTTAGAAAAAGAAAAGGAGGATTTGAGAAATACAAAACAAGCTATAGAGATTAGTAGAAAGAGAGAAGCTAAAGCAATTTAAAAAATACAAAGGGATTTATAAATAGTGTAGACATATGATGAAAATAATCCAAAATTGTAAAGTTTAAAAAAATAAGTTGATGAATAACTTTGTTAAAGTAGTACTATTAAATCCCAAAAATAAATAGGATCAGATATCAAGATTATTAATCACTTTGATGTTGAATAGCATGATGATCTAGATGAAATGCCAGAAACATATTCTGAGGATTTGTAAAATGATAATTAAGATCAGAGGAACTTAATGAGATAAAATATTATAGAATCTGATAAGTAAATAGAAACCTATTAGACATTAAGTGCAATAACAAATGATATTTTAGATGAAATAGTTCATAATTTGACAGAAGGTATTAGAAATTTATTTAATTTTAGAATTATTACATAATAAAGATCATTTCGAATTTATAATCTCAAATTTAATTAGTTAATCTGTTATTCCTTAATTGCCTACTTCCATCAAAGATATTAAAACTTATATTAAATAGTTATTTGAATATGTATTAGAACATTACAAAGAGGAATTAATAAGAAATCTTAATATACCATATGGATTCACTCCTTTTAAAAGAATGCAACTTATACATGGATATGACAATGATGGTGAAGAAATAGAAGATGAATTTCATTAGAATGAAGATGATACTTAAATTGCATTTCCTTTAGACGAGAGATTGTTTTAAGAATTCGAATCTTATAGATTATAATTAGAGAATGAACCTAATGATAATATTTAATTTGGAATGAAAGAGTTAGAACATATTCATAATAAAGCTATATTTGATGCATGTAATGAGGCTTTGAATTATGAAAGACCAAACTTTTTAAGTAAATAAGTAATTTTAAAAATTAGACTCTGGTTTTCCATATCCATGGGAAAATAAATAAGATAAATTAGTTATTTAAAGTGAAGACTTAGATAGTATTCTGAAAAATATGGAAAACAAAGTGATTAATTGGTCTGGCACTCTTGGAGGATTCTTGCCTGTAGAAGATGATTCGTAAATAGCAGAAGAAAAATAAGAAATTTTAGATGAAAAGAATTAATAGATGATGATTCAATAACTACATTAATTAGAAAATCCTTTGTTGTTTGATTCATAATTGTCTCAGCAAATGTTTGATAACATAGCTTAGATTAGAGATGAAAGATTATATAAAATGCTTATTTAAGATGTAAATATTTTATTTGATTTTAGATAAAAGAAAGTGAATTCCGATGGTATTTATTTGAAGATGATAGGACTGAATTTTTAATGGAACTTGGAGATATAATATTTGAATAATTGGTTGAAGAAATGGCATCAGAATAACTCTAATTATGAATATATATATATTTAAATTATCAAAATAAAAGGGCTCATGATATTGTATATTATTTTAACAAATTGAATAATAAATATATGATTTTGCTTTTATTAGTAATAAACTCTGCCTATTGTTTGTAATTTGGGTATGAGGCAGAGAAGGGATAATAAATCTGCTTTACTGATAATTTTTCAAAAGAAGATGTATTTGACATAAGAATAAGTGCTAATTCATCAAATTATGGTGTGAAGATTGCTGAGGCTAACTCTTAATCAATTGATAGTTTGTATGATAGAAAAGGATCTTGGGAGCACAATTATTAATACCAATCAACTTCTGCAACTGCTCATGTTAGATACTGTTTAACCAATTTTGAGAATGACTTCATCATGTTTAATATTACATATAAAACTGGATCAGAGTTGGCTAACATGGGAAAAGTAGCTAAAATTTCAGATTTAAATTAAATGGGAGGAATCATTAAAAAATTGAATACTTAGCTTGATGACATAAAAAGAGAAAGATCATTCTTGATAGAAAAATTTGATTACATGTCAAAATTATAAGGTTCAATTTCTAAAAAGCAAATGGCATTTGGATTTCTATGTTTAGGTTTATCTATGATTATTACAGTAATCACTGTAAACATGATTAAAAGAATATTAAGATTGAAAAAAGAATCATGAATATTATAGCTATAAATTGTTTAATAATATATTTGTTAATTCAATTAATCATAAAAATTAACATTTATATTTAATTAATTAATATAGTATTTTTAAATGAATATAGTATCACTTTTAACAGACTGCAATAATATCTTTAATAGTAAAGTTTCCAGATTCATCTTTATGAACCTTGCATATGTAATTGATTTTCTTAATTATTATTTAAATAAAAATACTTAACGACAAATATAGCAGTTTGGTGACTTTTCTAACCATTATCTTAAACAATAATTACAAATTCCTCCATGTCTACAAGGAAGCATAACTATTTATGGTTCTTAATTAAAACAAACTTAACATTTTTATTCATTTTACACTTAGTTTGACTCTTTTTCAGGAGAATGCATTTAATCACTACTTCTCATAACAAATTCAAAAGCTTTCAATTTAACTCCTTAATTTATGATACTATTTGTAATGTTTTAATTTTATTATGGATGTTAAGAAGCTTATTTGAAATATTCAAAATAGGTTGTAGATACTTAGAATAATTTTTATGGTAAAGTAGGTTTTGATATTATCTTTGATTATTATTTTGATTCCTTCATATTTTATTATTGAATATCTTCTTCAAAACCAATATCCTGAATGTAAATTCTAAATTTTATTATAACTTTATACTTAATATGATGTCTAAAAACTATAGAGAGCATAAAAACTAAAAAAGTTTATATAATAATTAAAATGCTAAGTATAAGACTAGCTTATTTTGTTGGATAATTAACTATTTCTTAATTGTTACAAATTATGTAACAAAACCATGAGGGAATTCCACTAAAACCACAAAAATATAAAATCAACCATACACCTCCAATAAGTTAAGATTTCGTGGCTTTCTATATTTAATAATCATGTGCTAATTCAATTATTGAAAGAATTAGAATGAGATGGAAAATAAAAAATATAACCAGTAAACTCCAAATCACACTAAATATTACAAACCAATTCCAATCAACCATATTCTTCCATTTTATAGTAACCAGCATTAATTATAGTGCAAATAATACTTTAAATCCTTGAATATACTATTTTTAAATTAAATATATACAATAATAAAACGATTCATAGAAACATTAAGTATAATTTTTTGAAACACCATAACAAAAAATCTTAATAAGTAGTAGGCTAATACAACATATCCTAGAAATTGGATTTCTAATTCTTTAAATCTAAAATGAATAAGAATTATAGTTTGAATAATAGTTGAAAAAAGAATATCAAATGTTGAATTTCCTACATCTATTTTAAATCTAAAGTTAATGGTCAAAATTTACTTTATTTTCATAATAATAAGAAAGAGCATCACCATAGCATCAAAACAGTAATAATATATTATTAATTGCATTATGGTGCATTAAAACACCAAATGAGTTAAATAAATTAGTAAATGTACATTTATAATTATTATTAAAAAGAGGAGTTTTGATAATTCTGTGATAGGATTATGTGGAGTAATAGCTAAATCCTATTAAATAATTTGTTAGGATCTAATATGATTTAATATAATAATAATAATACCTCATATATTTTAGATTTAATCTAATAATTTTTTTATTAAAAATATAAAGAATAAATTATAAGTATATAAATATTATTGATTTTAATAAAATATTTAAATAATTAATTAAGAATTTATAAAACTAAACGATAAGATTATTAGTATTTAATAGATTGAAAAAGATGTAAGTAATAAATAAATATACACTATATTTTTAAAAATAAGATTGATTCAAATATCTTATGGATATTATCTTACGAATTCTGGAAATTTAGGATAACCATTTTCTGCTAATCCACAATATTTATATGTTATTTTTGTACCTATTGGAGGTCTTTGTTTTTTAATCCCAATCTTCAATCCCAAACCTACTTCAAATTCTAATCCTTCTTCATTACGAACTAAAAACCCTCCTAAAACATCATCTTTTTTCATATGAGTGTCCTCTATATAATCTATGATTACAGCCTCTGCATCCAAAGATGATTTAACTTTTAATAAACTTTTTGATCTAGTTCCATCATATAAAGAATCAGGATCTCTTAACATTAAACCTTCACCACCATTATTCTAAACTTCTGCAAGTTCTTCTGCTAAATGTTCTTTCCCTTTACAAATTTTATGAGGGACATAAACAAGATGAGGATTTTTTATTTTTTCAATAGCTTTTTTTAGTTTTGCATATCTATCACTAAATGGTTCTTAAAGAAATGGAGCATCAAATACCATATATTTGATTATCTTCCAAGCATTTGGATCTGCTGTTCTTTTTCTAACTGATGTTAAGACTTTATTAAATGTTCCTCTATTTATCCATAGTTCTCCATCTAAATAAGTTGTAGGCCAACCTTCTATAAAATAGGATGGAAACTTTAATGAATATCCATTTCTAGTAAACATCTCCATTCCTGTCCAAATCATTCTCATTCCATCTAATTTTTCACTCATATAATAGCCTTTTGGATCTATTGATACAGTCCAATTAGAAGCTAATAAACATGATATTCTTTGACTTTTTGAAAAAGTAGGACCAAGTCCTAAATTTTCTCCAAGATTAGGTCTCATTTTATATTTTGGCCATACTGAGATTAATCTACCTTAAGTAGCATCATCTAAAAGTTCAGAACATGATTTATCTGGTAATCCTAATCCTGGTTATCTTAATTTTTATTTTTTTTCAATTTTTTATACAATTTATTCTTTTTTAGTAAGTTATTTATCATCAATTTCACCTTTTTATTATTGAAATTATTTGTATTTCAAATCTAATTCATATTTATATTCAGCTTCAGGAAAACTAATTTATTCATAAGTTTTGACAATTTCTGAAGGTTTAATTTCATGATATCCTTGTCTAAGTTTTAGTTTAAGCATTTCACCTATATCTAAGATTCCTTCTTAAAGTGTATTATATTTTTTGAGTTCAATTTATAGATTATCAGGTTTTTCCCAATTAGTATTAAGAATTCCAGAACGAATTTGTAATGTTACAGGATTAGTGGATAAAAGTTTAGAATGCCAGAATAGTTGATTTTACTTAACTAGATATATTTCAGAATTCATGATAAATAATAACATACATATATAATCAAAAGATTTATAGTAAAAAAATCATTTTAATGTTTAAGTGAATTGTCGCGGATTTTGAAATAATTTCTTTCTTTAAAGATATTTTTCATTAATATAATCTTTGTGATTAATGTATGGATTTCTTGAATAGGTTAATTATTCTAAATTAGGCTTTAATTTAATTTCTTAAATAATAGATTTAAGATATTCATTCATAAAAGATTGTTTATGTAATTTTGATTATGATTTATAAGTATACATCCAAGCAATATTTGTAGATAAAGTAAGTTTACGTTTGTGTTTAATTATTTGAGACATTTTAAGATCAGAAGTTGTTTTGATTCTATTAATTTTTTCAAATGTGAAATCATCGAATTTGGATCTGGAATATGTGTTATTTTATTGTTTGCATTTTTATTCATCTGAAATCTCAGATTACCAGATACTAACTTTAGTGGGTATTGAAAGAGTATGAAACTTAGTTCTCATAATTATAAAATTGAAATTAATTAATTAATTAATTAAAATAAATTATAATTCAATTTAGATCTAAATATTTATTGATATAAGAATCACTATAATTGCTATTATATTCATCATAATCATCCATAATATTTCTTATATAAGATTTTTAATGAAATATTTTTTATCCAGATCCAATTTTATCTAATAGTTATTATTAATATTTATTATAACTAATATCTGATAATAATTCATTATGATTATCATTTTATTACTATTTAAATTCAACTTAAAAAATATATTAAATATCATACCATATTTAATATTGAGTAATTCAGAAGGAATCAATTTTAATTCATGATGTAATTTAGGATTTACTTTATTTATCTCATGCATTAAATTCATCCTCCTTATTTTTTATATATTTTGATATATTTTCTACTCTTATTCTTATCTAAGTTTATGAATAGATTTTATAATTGGAATCTTTTAAGTGATTTAGTCTAAACTTTATTTAAATGACTTTTTATGACTATAATTCAAGTGTTGTAATTGTGAACAATTCTCCTTGATTTCATGTAGACTCTATATAAATACTCCTCCAGTGATCATAATAATAATTTTAATTAATATTCGTTAAAAAAATCATTGATTTTATTTCTAATCTTCCTCTATCTTTTCCAACTATTAATTGATGTTATCTAACAATTCTTGTAATCTCTCTTAGTCATCCTATATTTATTTCAACTCATTCATCATTTGACCTTATTCTTAACCTTCTTAGTCATCATTCATGCATAAAGCTCTATTAATCAAAAATATTATTACTTAAACGTTGGGAACCATGACGTGTCTTCATTCTTTATTTTATCCATCACATAACTTTCAATACCACTATATTCAGTAGAATCCTTATCTTTCAAATAAGCAATATAAAACAAATAATTCCACATATAATGTTCCTATTTAATATGATAGGTGAATCCCAATTAATTTTTACTAGATTTTTCAATGGTTTCCTTATCGAATCCACAAATGAAACAAATATTCTATAGATCCAACTAATAAACATTTAATTCTTCTCTCAAAGTACCAAATGTATCAATAATAATACCAGATACAATATTAATCATAATGATCATCAATAATATGAAGTAAATATTATCGAAAAAGAATCTAAGGAAGAAATATCCATCATCATTAGGTTTAACATCTGTTGATGGAGTTAAGAATCCTCCCAATCCACCATCAGATTTAAATGATCTATCAACTGCTGTCAATAAACATTAGAAAGTGCTATAACAAAAGTTTGGAGGATAACTTTCATATAACCAATAATAAGCCACCAATGAAAATACATACATAAGTACAATAAATAGAAATAGTGTAAATAGAATTGACTTTCTAGGTTCCCAAACTGCTTTTACAACATTCAATAACACAGGATATCTCACTAAAACATCAAAAAGATGAAATGCAAAAAAGAATGGATGATAAAGTGTTCCTAAAAATGCTGTAAATCCATAACTTAAATAATATAGTACATAGAAGTCTGTTACTAAATAGACAACTGTCATCAATAGTCTTCTAATATACATAATAATGTTAAAGTTATCATTTTCCCATCCCATCCATGCTTTCTTTATGATTAAGGGTGCTGTCTATGCTAAAAAGAATAACACAATTAACATTGATAAAACAATTACAATTATTCCTAATGTTTGTATAACACCCTATAATTATAAATCTTGTTCCTATAAATCTTCTTCATAAACATAATCATCCAAACAAGCTTAATATTCAGAAGGATCAGATGTTGGATCACATTGCTTAACTTCTTTATGGAAAACAAATAAAATCATTACATTAATAGTCAATGCCAAAATAAATGTAATATCTCTATACAATTAAATTTTTGAAACAATTAGAGCTAACACCTTTATTTTATTCAAATAAGATTAAATTTAATATGTTAATTTCATTTTCTTTATTAAATCAGGTGATTCTTGTAATAAAGATGTTACTTTTGCTTTTACTGAGATTCTTTTGGCTTCTTAATTAAATTAAGTTTTTGTAGGTTTATCAAGACTTTTGCAATAAGGAAGTAAATAAAAATAAGTTTTTTCAAGCATCTTATCTTCTCTTAATACTTCAATATGAGCAGAATTATTAGAAAAGAATTTAATACTTTCCTTGAATAATTTACTTCTACTATCTTATATTTATTTCTTTAATTAATCATAATCTATTTCATTATTATCTCTTCTAACAGCCTAATTCAATTTCTCAGCAAAACTTAAAAAGAAATCTTTTACTCCTTTCACTATATTAATTGCTAAAAACACAACCTCACCTACAATATTAGCCTTGAATTACTCCATAATATCATCTCCTTTCTCACCTTCTTTTTGACCACCTCCATCTGTAGGATCTTTGACTTCAAGAAATGTTGAATAAAGAACAAACAAATTGAATCCTGTTTCAATAATAAAACTAGCCATATCTGCACTCTTTTTACCTTCTTCTGTTTCTTTACTTTCTGCTTATGGTTCAATTGAAAAATGAGAGAATATTTCAGCTGTATAATGATCTTAATATAGACTCTTATACATGTCATAGATATCTATAATATTGACCTTCAACATTTCTAAATTAAATGATTTTGCCAATCTAATAATAACATCATTAGATTTTCTACCTTCCAATAAAGATAGAAGAGTAATTGAACATTTATATTTCAATCTTGCATACATCCATCTTGGAAATACTTCATTTTTCTTTCTCTCAGTATTTGGATCTAATTATGATTCATCTAAGGTTTTCTTTTTTTATCTTAAATTAATTTCTTCAATTCTTTCATCAAATCCTAATAAATTAGTTGCCATATCTAAAAAGTTAGCTTAAAATAAAGCTTATTGATTTTCAAAACAAGGACCTTAAACATATTCAGTAATAGTGTCAAAACATTATATCATACAATAAAAATATTTAGTTTTCTTAACATTTAGATATTCTCCTAATAACTCAACAACATCAGTAAATAAATCATATGTATGATAATTCATTTATTAGAATCTCATATAATTTTATAATTCTGTATAGTGACCTTCAACTAATAATTATAAGAATCTTAAAGTGTTTTATGTTTCCTCAGGTTCATCTTAAAAATTATATTTAACATCATCCTCATCTTCATCTTCTTTTTTTAATTCTGCCTTTTAATCTTCAAATCTTTCATGTAATCTTAAAAAGAACACTTCAGAAGAAGTAAAATTAACAAAGAAATTGTATACAGATTTTTATACTTCTCTATTACCTCCTTCCATCATTTCAATACCAAAACTCAATAAATTATTATATAATAGATTATATCGATTAATGTCTTTGTAATCTGATAAAATAACTAAAATAGTGGCCATAGCATTATTATTATTAAGAAAATTTTATCTGTCTTCTCTAACCTATTATCTCATTTCTGCTTATTTCTCTTCATCTTATTCAGTTGTTTCTGTATCTTCTGAGATAATAATATAATTGCTTAATGCTCTTAATACTTATTTAATAGTAGATTCACAACCAGGTTAATTGTGTCCTTTACTCAAAAAAGTAATCAATTTTTTAAATATTTCTGTTTTATTAATATGATCTTATATTAATGGATCTTTAGAATAAATACTTTCAACTTTTTCTAAAGCTTCAGAGAATATTTTTTATTCTTTTTTGATTTCTTCTAACAATTCTTTTGAATTTAAAAATGTTTACATAAATATTTGCCATAATTATTTCCAAGCATCATCAGTTCTAAAATCTGCTGGTCTATTTTTTTATTTATTAAATTCAATATTAATCAAATTTAATCCAAGATTAAATGTCTTTTATTTCTTTTTATTCTTTCTTTTTTCTTCTTACATTTATTCTTCTAATTTTTAAGCTTATTATTTCTCCTCTTCTTCCTTTTTCTACTTTTATAATATTTCCTCTTCTACTATATTGTCACATAAGAAATACAATCTTAAATCTTATTATTATTAACTTAATTTCAAAGAATTTAAATCTTCATGATTCTCTACTAAATCTCTCAATTTTTTAACAGAACCAAATAAATTTTCTATTTCTTAATGTACTTAAGCTTAATTTTAATGAACAAGATTCTAATCATTTTATTCTTTTTAATATAATCTTAAAAATCCATTAATTGCCATAAAAAAATATGTAAAAAAGTATTCTTAAAATTATTCACTTAATGGTAATTTTGTGAATTTCTCTATTCTAATCTTTTCTGCATTTACATAATCTTATATATCATTAATACATTTGAAGGTTTCTTCAGCTATCTTCTCACTTTCCAAATAAGTATAATAAATATATTTTAATAATGGAACTTTTAATTGAGATACCTAATATTTATCATATCTGGGATTCACAACATGAATATCATCATCTGTCATTCCATCAGGAGCACATAAAATTTCAAGAGCATATTTTAATGATATAATAGTTCTTAAACGTGATTCATTTTATAACATACCTTCTTTTCCTATTGCACATGTATATAACACTTCAATCAATGTACAATGATATGAATAAGGTTCATCTCTATAATTTGGATTATCATTTTTAGCTGGAGTAAAATCAAATTCATGTTTTATAGATGCTTAAGCTTAATTCTTATCATTTACTTAAGCTTATCTATCTTTCAACCAAAATATACTACTCTTATAAGCTGGATCTAAAAGCATATTAAGAACTCCTTTTTAATTTGATAGAATAAATTCCTTTTTAACTTTTTAAATTAAAATAAAGAATTCTAAGAATCTTGATTATCTACCATTTGTTTTTATTAATTTTCTTATATTATCTATTACTGTACCTGGTTTTTCAATACATATTCTCTTATTATCTCTAAATATTTCATTAATTAAATCTAATTGTCCTAAATTCAATTCCATTTTCATTTATAATTTATTAAGATGTTCACTCAATAATAATTAATTTGTTGAATTATTTAAAGTGAAATTCTTTAACAATAAAAAGATATTACCAAATAATTCATATATTAATTTTCTTGTTCTACCTTCAAATTATTTTTCAGTTACTCCAATACAATCTGTTATTAATTAAACACACATATCATGTACTTTTAAATTTCTCATAATTGACTATCTAAATTCATCAATCAATATTCTTTATGTAACTTTTACATTATCATCTTCTAAAGTTGAATCTTTATATAATAAATTATTTATGAATTCAAAATATTTTATAGTTTAAGTTAAGATATCTTCATTATCAGGTAATGTTGGATCTTTAATCCATGTTTCAGATTCATCAATATTCTTAGCTAATTATCTCATTTTCTTTTTTAAATCACTAAATATCTTAATATTTTAACTATCAAAAAGTAATAATATTTTTGATACTAAATCTGCAAATTCTTCTCTTTAATTATAAAATCTAGTCAAAATGTTTAGAATCTTTGTTTACATATCCAAAGATTAACTCATACAAAATAAATTAATTAATGTTGGAAATATTTCAAATCCTAATATTGTACATATATCTATTGCATCTATTTCTTTTGATTATTCTAATACTTCTACACCACCTCCTGCTAATTGAGCTAAATCTAAACCAAATCCTAAATTAAAATTTTCACTTTTTGGTTATCCTCTTTTATCTGCATCTGTTCCTGTTTTTAATATTGAAGGTATTAAAGCTTTTATTTAATTTTTTATTGCTCCTTAAAATGCCTCTTCAATCTTTTTACGATCAGCTTCAACTGTTAAATTTAATGATCCATCTTCTAATCTTGACATTATTTTAAGATGTTTTGTAACATAATCTTTAAATTTCTATTTAAATTAATTTAAACAATAATCCATTTTTTAATCAAGATATTGATTTAAAATATCACAAATTTCTAATTTTATTTATTAATCTGCTTCGGAAGACTCTTATAAAACTTTTATTAATATCTTTTTTAAAACATCAGCTTATTTCAAAAATGATTCATTCATATTCAAAGGTCCACTTTCAAATTAAATATTCTTTTATTTCTTTTTTTTATCCTTACCTGCATCTTTATCTTCAATTAAAGAAAATACATTAATTAAACCACCAATTTTACCAAAAATATTCAAAGCATTTGCAAATATTTATTATCCACCTTAATTAGCTCCTTTTGATTTATCTTCATCTCTTTTTATTTATAAAATCTTTCTTGATTCTGGATATTTTGGATCAAATTCCAAAATAGTAAATAAATATTTTATAATACTAAAGAAATTCTCATTCTTTTATGTAGTTTCATCTGGAGTATTACATAATTAAATTCTATATTAACCAAATGTAATTAATAATTTAAGTGATCTTATCATTTCTAATGTTAATCTATTATAAGTTTCAGGACATTAAGTTGATATCTCTTTAAGAGTTTCTCTCTATTTAGCTTCACCAAATTTAATATCCCAATTTGATGACATTTTTTCTACATTTAATCCACAATCCTTAATAAATTAATATAATCCATCTTTATAATCTTAATATATCTTTAATCCTCCTTCTTCTTCATCTAATATTCCTTATGCATTATCACCATCTGTAATAACTACTTTACATAATTCTGGAAATACTATCTCTCTTCTAGGTTCTTAATCCAAATAAACCTTATTCATTAATTTACATATAATAGATCTCATATCATAACCAATATCTCCCATTTTTAAATGATCAATTAAAACATCAAATGGTAAAAATTATTCAACAAATCTCTTCCAAGTATTATTTCTTGTATTACACATTGAAATATAGAATTCTAATTATTCAGTTACTAAAGATAATATTAATTTTGGTTTTAATTCTTATGAAGGTGTTTTAACTGTTTATTTTTTTAAGAAATTATTTAATTATTTTGATTTACCTATTTCATCTCCATCAGCTTCTTAAAAATGTTATTTCTTTTTATCTGTTTTTGTAAAGAATTCCACAAAGTTTTTCTCTTCTCCTTTAACAAATATTTTAATAATCTTTTATTATCTTTCAAATTTAATTAAAACTTCATCTTTAAATACTTTATCTCTATCATAAGCATCAATCAAACATCTATAAATACCTTCTTAATTAACATTCAAACCTTTGCCTCTATGAGTAGATGCAAATTATAAAAATGATATGATATCTCTCTTTTTTTCAGCAGATGTAGATTTCTCTTTTAATAAATTAGTATAAAATTACAAAAGATCCCATCTTGATTTTAATTAAAAATGATCTTCATTTAAAATCTTTTTGATTATTTAATCATACAATCTTCTATAATCTTCAATTGTTAATTATTATTAAAAGGCATTTGAATGATTTGCCATAACAATATCTTATTCTTATTAATATGATTAATGCATATCATCATCTTCATTAACTTATTCATGTAATTTTAAAAGCAAATCCTCATGATCTCTAATAATTTAAACAATACATTTTAAACCATCATCAATATAAACACTTTATTATGCAAAAATTGGTATATATCTAGATGCTTACTCTTAATTTACTATATTTGATTGACAAATACAATCAAGTAATTAATATATTAATGAACATATTTTCTTTTTACTATTATAATATTCTTTTTTTATTTATGAATCTCTATTCTTACTACTTTCATCAACAACTCTTTTTTTAGTCTTATCCATAGATTCTGATTTCTCTATTGATCTCAAAGTATCTAATGTTGATACATCAGGAAATGATACACATAAAATCTTAACCAATAATTCTATAAATTATTATTCCCTAAGAACATTCTAAATGAAATGATTAATTTATCCAAATTCTTAATCTATATATAAATATGCAATCAACTTATTATGACAAAATAATTATAATTCAGATAAACATTTACTTAATCTTTACATATGAGCTACAAAACCTTTATAAGATTTCTAAAATTTTTCATCTTTAATATCTGCTGATAAAAATGATACATCCATATATTATTAAGCTCCTTTTATAGTTTTCAAACAAGAAAGCAAAAAATTAGTCATTCTAACTTCATTAAAATTTGCCTTAGCTATTTTAAATACATATTCCTCTTTCTTTACTTTATTAAATGCTGGAACACTTTTTTTCTTCTCCTTTGAAATATCCTTATTCTCCTCATCATTTTATATTGATTCAGTTCTTAACCACACTTAATCCTAATTAACATATGTAGATGCTCTAAAATAACTATCTTTCTATAAGTATAATTAAGCCTTTTCTCTATTGTAAGTAGTCAATGTTGAAAAAATCAATTCAAAATGAAACAAAGAAGCCTTTTAATAATCTGATACACTTGTTAACAAAAATCTAGATTTATCTTCACCTTCTTTCTTTTCTTCTATTACTTTCAAATATTTCTTTGTAGTTAAATGTCTAAGTCTATAAGAAGAAGATATCATTGGTGTATCCCATTTTACTAATCCTCCCTAAAACATAGATTCACTTTCAATTGTAAACAAACCATTTGAATTACCAACAAATTTAGTATAATTGGCAGATTAAGTACATTATTCAAAGAATATATGTAATTCTGATTTTTAATGTTGTACCTATTATTTGATTTAATCTCTAATAGCAATAAGATTGAGCTATTGGAAATAGAATAAATAGAATTACATCTTATTCTGAATAATTGATCCATACAGTATCCTAAATACTCAAGAAACCTTCTCTTTCATCTAAATATTCAGCAAAAATATTAACTTTCCAAGGTGTCTTTTTCTCTGTAGAAATATTCACTTCTCTCTTTTCCTTCTAAGCTGATGATTTTGTATCAACTATAAAATTAATTATTTTTTATACATATCTTAGGTCTAGAAGCATGTAGATAAGGTTCACCTCCTATCTTTTTAGTTTAATCTACAGTGGAAACTATGTGAACTATATCTTCATGATATATATTGCCTGATCCTTCCTATTAAAATGTATAGCAAGGAGTGATTCTATAACATGTTTCATCAGAATGTTCATCAATTAAACTAAGTTTCAAATTATTGCTTTCAATTTCTGAAACATGATTTGAATCATAATACAAATATTTGTTTGAGTTTATATGTAACAATTATATAGTTTATCCAAAAACAACTGGAGAACCTTTAAATTTTTCATATTGTTCATGATTCAAAGTAGTTTCATCTTCCATTGCTTTTATATTTTTAGGTATCTCCAATTAAGCATCTAATAAATTTTAAAATACACATTACTTCTCATTTCAATAATTGAAAATTTCTTTATTTTTCCTTTCTCTTCCTTTACCTTCAAAGCTTTCTGATATTCATTATTATAAAATGTAGGGTATATTTTGAATAAACAAGAAGAAATAGATGAATACTTTAATACATCTTCTTTCTTTTTCAAAAGGATCTTATTTTTTGTATACCCATCTGCTGTAACTAAATATCTAATTATATAAACAAATAGTTCTACTCTTATCCATTATCATCCTTGAATATTAAATAAACCAAACATCCATAATGGAGGAGTTGCTTGTTTTAACCTTAACCCGCTCTATCCATTATAATTTTTTATATTATTAATAATCAAGAATGTCAAAGCTTAATTAAATTATCAATGATAAATATATCTATCAATACTCAACTTTATTTCACTCCTTAAAGGTTTTCCACTAAATGGTCTAATTTCAATTAAAGTTCTCTAATCTCCTAATCCTAATTGAATAATTCTAATAATAATAAGAATTTAAATATACTCATAAATCGAATCTTATCTTCTTCCTCATAACCAAACTTCTAATAAATAATATCATCGATTAATGAATTTAAGAGAATTGGCATGATTTCTATATTATTACTATCTTATTAACTATTAAATAATTTCATAACCGAACTAAATTATTAATTACTTTCATGATGTTCAATTATATTGATCTTATATTTAATCAATTCAATTCCCTATTATTTATTAAGTTGAAATTTAGCAGGTAAAATATCTTTAAGATTCTACTAAAAGAATGCCAATTGTGAAACAAATTCTGGTTACTAAGAATAAAACAAAAAAGCTTTTTGATAATCCTCCTCTACTATATTTAAACATTATATAATAATATGAATCCCTTTCTACGATAATTAATAAATGTCTTCATCCATTTACTTTATTAAATTAATATATTCCTCATATTTTCTTTCCTATAAACTCTTTCTTCTAAGTTCTCTAAACCTATTTAAAAGCTAAATGTATTCTTAATGAATAATTTCTTAACTTCCACCTAAAATTAAAGTCACTGTTTCCTCTTCTAAAATATTGTCATTTTCAAAATCTTATCTATATAATACTGGAACCGAATCTCTTATTAATTTATTTCTTCCTTCTATATCCAATGTTTGATATCCAGGTAATATTACTTTAACTTAATCCTAAAGTATAGGTTCAAAGTTATCATTATTATCTGTTATAAATTATTAATTAACCTAAACATTCTTATTTCCCTTTGTATCTGATTTGTTCTTTACTTAAATAGGTCTTCTATATCTTTTAACTCTTCCAAACAATTCTTTTCCAGATGTATTGGTAGTTAACTCTATTTGATCAGAGAAAAATGATTTTTATTTATCCTTATTAATAATGAAACTAATTGATGGATCTGTATATATAATTTATTCCTTCTATTTTTATTCCAATTATACTGGTTTAAATAGAGTGAATTTTGATTTCAAGACTTTATTATCAACTTATTAATTTTTATTTGGTTATGCTTAAATAGGTTCAGATTTTTCAATAAAAACATCATTTGATACAATATTTTTAGGTTTAGGCATTTTAGCTTATACCAATTTATCTATTTCCTCTCTAGTATAATTTTTGGGTTTTATATCAGGAATTTTTAATTCAATTTTTGGTACAAACACTTAATTCTAATTATTGAGTATTTAATCAGCATTTTTTATTTCATATTATGTTAATCTAGAGATTTATTTAAAATGATGTTAATCATCAATTAATTAAATTCTCTTTCTATGTATCTCTTCTATTAAATTGGCATCATCTTTCAATTTTTTTTATTCTTCCTTTGTAAACAATCCTCTACTTTTCTATTAAGTATTATCAGTAATTTATTCAACATCAGCCTTAACATTTTTCTTTTTTTATTTGACTTCAACAGAAATCCATTCATCATCATCTTCCTCAACTGGTTCTTCAATCTTTTATTTTTATTTTTTCTCTTTTTTATTTTAAGTCTTATTAGATTCAATTAAATCAACTTTAGGAGGATCTTATTTATTAGTTTAGACTTATGGTTTAATCTATTATTATTATTATTAAACAACTTGATTCTTTTATGGTTATTAATCTAAATGAAAATATGATTTTACTTTATTATTTTATTTATACCTCTTCTTCCTTTTTTTATGGACGATTCAATTATTTCTTTTTGTTTCCAACTTCAACCCATTCATCATCATTATCATTATTTTCTTATTATTATAATAATGGCTATTTAATCTACTATTATTTCTTCTCTTTCTTAACTTAAGTCTACTATTATGATTATATTTAAGAATTATTAACATTTTTTACTTTCTGTTATTGTACATCCTCTTATTTTTGTTTAGTTTATTTTTCTTAATCTACTACTTTTTGATTTTCCTTCTTGATTTCCTTTTATTGTTAATATTCTTTCTATTAATAAGATATCTCAGCTTCTTAAGTTGTTGAATATTATTATGCTGGATTCTTACTTAAATTCTCATTCTTAATTTATTATTTTTTCTTTGACTAATTTTTTTAAATTTATTTAGTTTATTATTGAATCTGGATATTAACTTCTTCTTAAATAAATTTTTGATACTAAAATATAAATAGTTGTAATACCATCAATAGAAGTAATGCTTTTGAAGAGTAAGCAAACCAACTAATAATATATAATAAATTGTACCTAAATCCACCAATGATTAATGCATAACCTAAATAAGTTGATGTAATTTCATTTTTCCTTCTATTAAATAAGAGGATCACTCCAAGGAATCTGATGGATTCATTATATATAATAATTTTTACATTGCAAATATTGCATATAGATTCAAATTATTTTTCATTTTTTTAATTATTTTTATATTATATATTCTTAAAATAAAACATTTTTTATTTAAATATCATATAAACATTATTTTCAATCTTTCTTTTATTAAATCTTTACCTTTTTTACTCTTGTATAAATTTCTATATATTTCAATTTTAATTTAATCCACAAACCAAAAGATACAATATTAATAATCAACCAACAATAATCAAATATTGACTTCATCTTGTAGGTTACTACAATCAGAGAGAAATTTAATAGATATTAATGTTTAAATATCTTTAATAAAAAAAGGTTAGATATCTTAATTGATATGATTAAATCTTAATCAGTTATTTAATTATGAAGTTCTCTGAATGCTTAATATTCCAACATGAACCATAATAATAGTCTATATACAATCATTGAACAATCTGGAGGTACCCATAATTAATTCATTAAAAAGAAATTATTTAAAAAAGTTTCTTATTATTTCAATAATAACAAGAAGAACAACTTCAAATTTTTATGGATTATTAAATGTATCTTTAGTAAATCAACTGTATTTTACAAATATAAATTTCTTTATAATTATCATTCCAATAATAATTGTTATTGTATTACCTAATAATATATGATCCCACCAACATTGTCTAATGTGGAGGTTTATGTTACCAAGATTATTCAATAATTTCATCTAAGATCGACCAAAAATTCAGAAACAAAAAGTCTCTAAAAAGAAATGTGTCCAATAATCAATTGATTACATGACATCAATAATAATGATCTAAATTATCAACAATGTTAATCCATTACAATTATCATCATATTTATAAATATCCTTAGTAACAGGCTACCTAATCTATTTTCTCCTAAAATCATTAGCTTAAGTTATTTGAATGATGTACATATCTATCATCTTTCTAATTATAAAATGCTAAAAAGACTAAGATGACTATAAATGTGATTGATAACCATAATTATATTCTAAAAATGGTTTCATATTCATTACCAAAAGGATCAATTGGTTTGAATTAACCTATATTGTACTATAAATATCATTGATGCTAACACACTTCTTTTTGAAATAATTTCAAATCCTTAATAAATATTATAAGCTAAGTATAGAAGAACAGTTGTGAATATCAAAAATATTTGTTAATGAAAATTCATTATTAATTTAATTATTCAATTTTAATGTCATTTGATCATCTTAATGATACTAATATCACAAATCAATCAGAAAAAGAACATGTAAATGAATTTTATGATTACTAAATTCGTAATATGTATGATAAAGAAAAATATATTAATCCACATGATATTGCTGGTTAACCAGGTTTAGTAACAAGTTAAGCAGTTGAATTGGAAAAGAAGAAAGTATAATTTAGAATGGCAAATGAAATCTATTTAAGAAAACATCCAGAATTATCTGTTATGCTAAGCATTTTCCTATTTAGAGTATTAGAAGAGAAACCAGATGATGTATTGATGTATGCAGGGAAATTCTTTGATTAGTATTACTTTTATATTTATAATAGATAACATTTAGAAGAGGTAATATTGATATAGAAAAAACATTATTTAGAAAATGGAAATGCAACTGCTTGAATCTATTAAATATTAAAAAAATTATTAAATTTTATATCAAATTACTTTATATCTCAAATATTTTAACTGTTATAATTATTACAATCCTTTTTTATTAGATGTCTTATATATTTTTGTACTCATTTAATATTATTAATTATAAATTATGCATCAATAATTACCGCCAGAATAATTAGACAGATTAATATGTTTAGAGGCCAGAATACATAAGAAATCAAAAGAAGAGATTATCTAAGAATAATATCTATAAACAGAAAAAAACAAATAAAATGATGAAAATGATAATAATCAACCTAATACTGATTCAAATAAAAAACATGAAGATTTGAAATGTTCCAATTAAAGTGAAATTTCACCTGATAACATTGTCATTTCTTAAGTTATGAGTCCAGTTCATAAGAAAACTAATTATGTGACCAAAAATTCTTAGTAGAAAAAAAAGAAGAAAACAAAAGAAACCTAATAAAAAGATGTTAATTTATTAAAAATAATTAGATTACTCAATATTTGCAAGCATAAAAAAAATAATTAAAAGTTACCAAAGGAGAATAAAAACTTATTGAATATACTATATAAGATTCTCCATTTAAGAACAAGACTACATTACCAAATGATCCTGCCATTGAATAGTAACTAAAAGAAAAACATAACAAAATTGTTATCTAAGAGATACGGATAAAAGAGCTTGAGACTTTGAATTGTGAATTAAAGGAGACAATTTCTGTATTTATTCTAGACTTAAATGAAGACTCTAACAGATTAATAATCTAAAATGCAAGAAGTACTGAAATTATTAGCCATCGATAATGAAAAACTAAAAAAACAATAAATACAAATATAAATTAAAAATAATCGTTTTAGATTAGGAGAGTTTAATCTTTAAAGAGAAAAAATAAATGTTATTGATGTTTGGATAGAAGGTTAAGAAATTAAAGATGCAAAAGAATAAGCAAAAAATCTTGAAAACTTAAAACAAGACTTAGAAAACAAGAAGAAAAATCTCAAGAATAAAGATGAAACTGAAATAAGAGCAATAAATGTCAAATTGAATTTTTTAGCAAAAGAAGAATAATAAATACAAGAAAAGATTGATAGATTAGAAACTGAAAAGATTTTACACATTAAACATATGAAAAGATTATATGAAGAAGAACATGCTAGATTTACTAAGAATAATGATTACCCATTAATTGGATCAAGATATTAAATATTATCACTATTAGGTAAAGGTGGATTTAGTGAAGTTTATAAAGTAATAAACTATTAATTTATTAGGCTTTTGATTTATAAGAATTCAAAGAAGTTGCATGTAAAATACATTAATTAAATTCTAATTGGTCTGATCATGCCAAATAAAATTATATACGACATGCAATTAGAGAAAATGGTGTACATAAAGAGCTTAATCATTAAAATATTGTTAAACTTTATGATTCTGTTGAAATAGATAAAACATCATTTTGTACTGTTTTAGAATTATGTGATGGACCAGATTTATCTTATTATATAAAGAAATATAAATCATTTCCAGAGAAGGAAGCCAAATTATTAATATCATAGATAATTTCAGCAATTAAATATCTTAATAATCACAAGAATAAAATTATTCATTATGATCTTAAACCATAGAATATTTTATTTCATTAAAATGATTTAAAAATATCAGATTTTGGTTTATGTAAAGTTTTAGAAGATGACAATTCTAAATTATAATTAACATCCTAAGGAGTAGGAACTTATTGGTATTTACCTCCAGAATGTTTTCATATGGGTGATTAACCACCAAGTATTTCAAGCAAAGTTGATATTTGGAGTATAGGAGTCATATTTTTTGAAATGCTGTTTGGTTAAAAACCATTTGGATAAGGATTGAGTTAAGAAAAGATATTAAAAGAATAAGTAATCATATTATATAGATTTTTAGATTATAATCAAATCACAAACGGTTACTTTTCCATAAAAACCAATCATTTCAAATGAATGCAAAGAATTTATTAGAGGTTGTTTAGCTTACAATTAAGTTGATCGATTAGATGTTCATTAAGCTTTTAATCATCCATACTTTCTTAAAAAATAGAATTGATTGTATTAATTAAATTAATATAAATCTTAGTAGTATATTATAGAAATATATTTTATATTGATATAAGTATTAATAACTTATCTATAAAAATTATTATGTAAAATAGAGTAATAAGAATAAATAATAAGATTTATTTAATAATAATAATACACATACTTATATAAATTGCATTTATAGTAGAAATTATTGTTATTATGATTTTACAATTAATTAATTATCCAGTCGAAGGAACTGTAGAATAGGATTAATCAAAATCTCCAAAAAGAAGAGGAATTTTAATAAAGCATTTTCGTTATCCAATGAAAATTTAAACAAATAACTTAATATATCCACTTCGATCTCCAAAAATTTAATCTAGTAAAAGTAGTACTAGATAAAATGAAATCACATGGTTTAGTGATTGTAATTAAATAAGAGAGCATAATTAAACATTTTATCAAACAAATAATTTCAAACCCTTCTTTAAATTAGGTGGTGAATAAAAAAATAGATTTGCCATTATAAAAAAGGTATTCAAAAAGGAAGATGAAAAGGATTGTTAATTTTTAGAAAGAAAATTGAGTTTATTGAAATTTAATTTTAAAGAAAAAGAGAAGGAGAAAGAGGAGAACTAAAAAATTTCTATTGATTATTCTTAAATTAAGATTCCTTAAACAGCATAATCTACAAGAAAGAGATAATATTAGAATAACAATAAACCTCAATTATTTTAGAATAAGATCAATAGAAGATTTAATAGTGATACTGATTTATAAGATTAAAAGCCAAATAGAAAGCAAATAATATCATATTCCATAAGACCTAATACTCATAACTATGATCGTGATCATTAAGAATTTGCTTAAAGTATCTTAAACCAATATTTGAAAAAAAGTTTGTAAGATTAATGATAGTGTAAAATTCTTTAACTAAATAATTTTCAATCAGCTTTTGTCTCATATTTGGTTGCATTCGGATCAAAATAATATTTGATATGAGCATGTGGTGAAGTACCATTTGCATTTTCAAGAAAAATATGTAAATTGCCTTCATTATCAAGAAGTACTTCACTTTCAACAATTCCCCCTAAATATTATATATATACATTTAATACCTTTCTCTAAAGGTTCACATTCTATTATTTCTTTCTTCTCCCAATCCACTTTCAATACTTTTTAACTTTCTTTTGCATACATAGTTAAACCACCTATCAATAAAGCTAAATTCTTTTTAACTCTTACTGCCATAAATCTTCTTAAAGGTAATGGTAATTTTAAATTACATTTCTCCCATCTATTCTCATTTATTAAGTATCTTTCTATATTATCTAATGTTCCTTCTTCTTTATTATACCCTCCAAATAATACTATTTCATTATCATTTATTCTACATGCAGCTGCTTAACTTTTTGGCTATTTTAAATCAGCTAATTAAACCCATTTTTCTGAAATAAGATCATAATACAAAACTGATGATAATTAAATCTTATGTTATTCATCATATCCTCCAATACAATAGATTTTTTGATTATAATAGAGACAAGAACAGAAAAATCTATTCATAGGTATTTGATGTTTCATTAATTCTAATCTATCATTTTAATAGACTCGAAAATTTGTATCTTGAAATCCTCCTATTAAATAAAATGCTTTTTTATCAGGAACAAAAAGTGTAGTAAATTATCTATCTAATTCTACATCCAATTTAGCAATTTAACGCCATTTTTACTTTGAAGTCGAAAATTTACTTATTGTTTTACCTCCAAATTCAAACCATAAACAAGAATCATTCAATATTAAAGTTGAATCCTTATAAAAAGCAGATTATGATACAACTTGTTACTTAATAACTTATACTTATTAAGATTATTATTATTATTAAGATATCTATTGTTATTTTTAAGAAGATGGCTACTCTCTTAATGGTTACTTTGACTTTTAAGATTGTTCAATAACTTAAGATGAACCTCCATTTTTCATATGTTAAATAATCACATTTTTAAATTACACATCAGCCTCTTATGATGTTCTATATGGAGGTCCTCTTTTTAACATTGTATTATAATGCTAATTGTATAATAGAATGTATTCATTTATAGCTACATTCTCTGATATCTTTCCTGAATTATATTTCTCTTCATGTTCTATAAATAATTGCTCAATCTCAACATATGAAGGTCTTTAAGCCTCTTCAAATATTAACATTAATTTTATTATAGATACATAAGCAGGACTATACTTTTATTCTAATTAAGCCAAACTCTATAAGATTAATTACTCACCTTCATTTGATTAAGTATTATTGAATCCAGTCACTTCTTACATTGCACTCATTTAATACATTACTAAACCAGTTGAAAATACATCTGATTTATAAATGTTATGTTCTACATATCTACTATTCCCATCAATTACATGAGCCTTCCATAAAATAGGTGATAAATATTAAGGTGTCCCTCTAATAGTTGCCATTGTATATGTATTTTTAGCTTCATTATCTA